GTTTAGATATCACAAATCGATCATACTGATCATACTGGTAATGTTCACGTCTGTTTCATAACCCGAACCAATTGAACCAAGTTAAACCGACTGTCATTCCACCATCGTGATAACCAAACACACCAAAACAATTACCGGGCCAATAAGTTGGATGTGAGAATTGATTGAGAAGGAACCAAAACCACGAAACATAGGAACCGTATCTAAAGCTACATATGCCACAGAGGATCATTCAATTCAATCCGGCGAGGGGTAATTTGACATACCGGTTTCTTTCTAGCTAGTAGCTAGATGAAATCTTATATTTCAACCTAGTTGCACTAATGAGACAAATAATGAGTATACTTCTAAACAATACAGAAAAGATTTCAAACATCACGATATTATAAAAGTACCAGTTATTGTAAATAATAAAGCCAAAATTAATTCAATCTACAAAGTGAGTATAGAGTGTGTTCATTCTTCAAACTATTTTATTTAAATGAAGAATCAAAATGTATAATGCGGTTTATCTTGTCTCGGCCTACAAATTTATTGACACATAAAAAAATGGTGAAATGAACTACATGCAGTGGCGGACCCAGAAATTTTTTATAGGGGTGTGCTCTTTTAAAAAATAAATTTACTAAAAATAAACTAATTAATAAAAATAAAATTGTAAATATGAAAATACATTACTCGTACAGGTTAAAAAAGTCCATGATGTGTTTTCATATTCGAAAATAATTGTAGAATACACTTGGTGTCTATAGTGTTTAAAAAAATTGTCTCTATATACACTACTAGACAATCATTCATGAACTTATCGCATATTCGATTTGTAAACTTGTTCTTGATGTAACCCAAAGCTGAAAGACTCTTTCAACACTTGTCGTACAATCATAAAATCAATACAAATTAAGGGTAGTTTGAAATTAGTTTAATTGTTAGGTTTTTAAAATAATTAGAGATAGCGAATGTCATTTTACTACTACACATTGTTCAAAATCGAACAACAAATGAGTTTAGCTCAACTGAAATTAAGTTTATTAATAATAATAGTGTTCTAGATTTAAATTATCCAACCTACCACTTATATTCCTATACACAATTGACATGAGGATAATCATTTTTTCAAATTTAAGGGGTGTCCCTCACTATCAATTATATTTTTTTTTTGTTCATACGTAAATTACCACCGGGGGTTGGATAATCGTTTTCCCAAAATTTAAGGGTGTCCGGGGACACCCCTAAACCCCCCTGGGTCTGCCCCTGACTACATGTATGACATGCTTGCCCGTCCGGAAAGCTCTCTGGTGGCTGGAAATTTGAATCCATGAAAAGCCAACCCATGTTTTGCCTTTATATCATTTGTAGATTATTAATTATTTATATATTAATTTTATATCAAATAAATATTATTTTTGTGTCATGTCCGTTCTTATACACAATAAGATCTGAAAAATATTAAGCCCAACAAGATCCACCTCGTGCCGGGATGGCGTATATATTTCATGTATGTGTCGTGTTGTGCTAGCCCGTAGGCGGGCCGACCCGGTGCCCACTTACACTCATCACCAAACATATTCTAGAGTTTAATTAAATGAATAAAGATGAGAAGAATTCAAAATTGGAGTCGAAGACCACGAAAGCAACTTTGCTCGTGTGAACTGACGAACCAAAAACACGGGATTTGTTGCTAGGTTGGATCAGTTTCTTAGAACACAAGCTCGTTGCGTACCCGGATGATTACGGACTGGCAAGGCACTTAAGCGGGCCGACGTCGGGACTCTAATTAAGGAACGAAACCAAATCCAAAAAAAAAAAAACAAATCCTGAAGCATGGACTAAAGCACGAACTTTGACCTGGAGACAAAGAGCTAGAGAAGGATGAATGCGAACGGCCATGCGACCTTGCTTCTCGACTGAATGATGAACGCCAACGTCTCGACCGGGAACACAACCTTACTGTGAGTTGAGGAAGGTGTCTCTCGATTGAGAGAGGGAGAGCGAGAAATTATGCCACCGTTTTCAATTTTGGGGATCGTTTGGGCCACCCTAATTAATACAATGCAGATTCCAAAAAAAAAGATGGGGTAAATCTAACTTTTTAATCTTAAATTGTGTTATTGAATATGTTGGATATATTATTATCAATTTCAAAATTAGTAGCAATCAGTAGCTGTACCATGAAGTCATTATTTATCTGAAAAAACTTGTATATCAACGATTTTATGACCGACTTTTTACTTGTTAATTACCGGTTATCCGATAAAACTTAAATCTTTCGCTAATCCAGATCTCAGATCGACCCAGTTTTGAAAACACTGCTTTTTAGCCTTTTGTTTTATTTGGAACGGAGAGTGTGAGTTTGGCACTTTGGTTAGAGCGGTAATACTTAGCAGGAAGGCCGAAATTATTGGAATTGTAGAGCAAAATATTTAACGAGCCAAAATTTAGAATAGGGGGCGGGGGAGGGGGATTTGCCGGAGAGCCAAATTCCTATGCATGAATTTTTGAGGAAGAATATGACAAAAGCTACTCTGACGATATAATTTGTCACATTTGTGTCTCTTACATCTCGATATGGGATGCCTATTTTAACAAACTTAATTGTGACACGAAATATTTGTCACATTATTCACATTAAATTACGAACTATTCCGACAACAAGAAATTTGTCACTGTTGAGTCTCTTACATCTTGATATGGGACGCCTATTTCGATAAATTTAATTGTGACACGATATATTTGTTACATTACTCACTTTAACTGAAAATTTTTTTTATAGATAAGGGTGATATAGGTTACTTTATTGTTATTAGATACTACTGAAGGGATTCGAACCTGAGACCTCCAGGTTCATATTAAATCACCGTGTTTTGTTCCTATTTGCAAAACATGCATTTTGGCATAGGTATTCTTGACATGAAGGTTTTCATAGGGGAATCGACTCCACCTTGTCGTATTTTATGCTTTCCCAAGTGTTTGTGATGAAATTTTAGGTCTTATATTCATTTGGGCTGGATCGGGAATCGATTGGAGTTTATCCGAGAACGATTGGGAAGCATAGAAGCAAAGACACGGCAAAAATCACAGCTTAAGGGCTCAAGTTCCCGACCGAGAAGATGACCGCGAAGATTGCCAGAAGATCGATCGCGGGCCAAGGGCGAAAGATCCCGACTGCGAAGTGGGGCATTTTGATTGTGAAGTCTGGAAGGAGGCGTCGCTGGGAGAATAGAGAGTTTCCCCACTCTCTTCACGGGCAACGCTGATCTAGATGGAGGAAAAATATCACACCTGTGATACTTAAGTTCGTGGCCGCGATCTTCTGTCTTTCGGCCGCGAACTAGCCCGAGATTTCCAACGCCTATAAATAGTGGAGCTGCTGGAGAGAAAAGGGAGAGTCGCCCTAGAGTGAGAAAGTTAGGGTTTTGGAGTGTTTAGAGAGGGAAATACCTTGGGAGAGCTTCATTGAAGATCCAACCAACCCAAGGAGCAAGGAGAAGGTGCAAGCAAGGAGAAGAAGCTTGATTCCATCACCCCCTTCTTCTAGTTTGTGTTTTTTTCTTCTCTCTGATGACTTGAATTTCTAATGGTTATTTAGTAAAAACGAACCCCAGTTTATAGGTTGTGTATGAATTGGTTATGTATGAATGTGTTTATCTACTTGATTTGAATGTTATTCTAGCTTTGTTTGTGTTTGGGAAGGACCCCCTAATCTTCTTTACTAGCCTACTTTACGCTTTATGCTGGGTTTGGAGTTTTAGAGTTAGACGGGTATACGCCATCAAGCAAATTGAGGTTAGATGTATGAATAGAGATCTATGGTGGTCGAGGCGACCGAACCCATGCCATAGGTAGCCTTCCTAGATAAAACCCGGGATAAAACCTCGGTGTGGACGGTGGATAGTATCCGTTGAAAGGAGCTACAAGCTTAGTGCCCCAGATACGATAGCCTAGATTGAGGTTACTTTATATGGGTCTAAGGGAGGTGTACTCGGAGGTGTGTGGATAACCACGAAAACCCATGAAAACGAGCTCACTCACCACATTATCTTAGTCCTACTTGACAACCATAGCTAGTAGGATTCGACCCTAGGCAACCATCTCATTTCTAGTGGTCTCCCACCCACTTGGTTGGTTGTTTATTTTTGCATTTAGGAGTATATTAGATCAGACTTTTCACCCAACTTCCGATTCGATTAGATAGTAATTCAGAGTGAAATTATAGTAAGTTTAGGGATCCCTTGTAATACGACCGAGCCACTTTACTACAACCTTAGCTAGGTTATACTTTGCTTTGTTAGGATTTAATAGAGAGTGTGCATCGACTTATAAATTTAAAGCTAGATCACGAACAAGGGATTGGTCTAGTGGTAATACTACTAGCCTTGAACCTGGAGGTCCCAGGTTCGAATCCCTTTAGTAGTACCTAATTACAAAAAAATAACCTATATCTAAAAAAAAAATTAAAGCTAGATCGCGCATAAGCGTTATGACTTGCCATCAAAACAACTATAATACATGTCATTAGCAATTGGGCTAAGCGATAGACTTTTTGACCACCCATGGTGTCATACTAGGGGGTTAGTGAGTGTTCATCATCACCCCCTTTGTTGGCGACCTATCAAGATGATATTGTCCTAGGCGGTTGGTTCTCCACCTACTCAATGTGGTCACCACCATCAACCCCCCTTGTCCAACCCCTCGTCGCTTATCTCCAACCCTGATATCATCCAGAGGTGCGTTCATTATTACCCTTGTCCCAACCCATCAAACACCTAGGTTTCAAGTATTAGATGGAACCATCCAAGGGGGTAAGCACACATACCTCCTCCTCTCAGCCCCAAGTCGTCAAGCATGATAGATTGGTGACAAACATTATATTTATTCAACAAGCCCATCAAGAGCTCTTAAGGTGTCGGGCATATACACCTCAAATGTGAAGCATGCTAAACTATCTAGGTGTCAAATATGACATCCTACCATCTATATAGTGAAAGCCCTAAGCAATACATCATCATGTTCCATCTTGGACACTTGGAATCGAGCTCGACACCCTACCAACATGATGCTGGCAAGATGGTTCATCTTGGAAACCTAGGTGTCAATCATCACATCCTATTAGGTGCTCGACATGATACTTCATTATATCTTAAACATCAATATGTTCAATACCTTATCACGTCCGCATCAGGCACGAAGACTCCAAGTCAGTATAATAAAGATACAAATACAAGTCATCCAGCAAGACACCTTCGTGACACGTAGACTAATCATCAAACTTGTTTTGAAGTCTTCAAGTCGTCTAGGTTTCAAGTGGTCTACATGAAAGCAAAGGGCGTTAGGGAATCAAACAAGCTAATAAAGTACCAATGTAGCAGGAGGATTAGTTACAAAAGTGGATTCACATGATGTCTATAAATAGGAGAAACAAAGATGGAGCAAGAGCTTCCCAAAACCAAAATTCTGATGCACATATTGAGTTTATCATTTTTCTCTACAAAGTAGTCATATGAATAGTGTTCTGAGCTCTCACCGAATCTCCATAGGAGTAGAGAGTAACTTAATTTAGTTTGTTAAAAAAGTCATAAAATAAAATCAAACACTCTTCAGATATAGTAGTGTTTGCATTGGATTTTGCAGTATGTAGTCTTCTCCTACGCATGGTCCATGAAACCGTACCGTACCGGCGGTTCAACTACAAAATACCAATATCAGAGGCTAAATCGATAGGCGGTATATAACGGTACTAACAGTTGAACTACAGTTAAATCACAGTTTTGTCATAAAATACTCTAGCGCTGACTTTTCTGGTACGGTTTCATGGACCATGCTCCTACGTTGTTTTGATGTCCTGGCTATGTTATTCTTGCCGGTTATGTTTTCATAATTGGTAGTGTTTTGAATTTAATGTGAAATTAATTTTGTTTTGCTTGTTCTTCCTATTCATGTTATGATATCTGCTTTGTTGGTTGCTTTTCCCATGAGATGTAACCGTTTGCAACGGTCCTCAATTACTTTAGTACTGGTTCCAATGCAAAAGAAAAAGTGGAATAGTAACCGTTTGAAAAATGGAATCCCTATAAATCCGGCGCACCATCCATGTCGACCAACATTAAATTCGAATCTCTAATTTTGTGCTCATCTTTTCCTTGTATGCTCTTTTTATAGTTATAGCCATTACATCAAAATAAAATTAAAATGGAACGATTTAGATACTAGTTATCATAATATCATTGTACTAGTCACTATTTTATAGGTTATTAACTTGTTGTCTCCTTCAGGAGCCCCAATCCCTTCTGGCGCAGGTCTACAAAGGGAAGTATTTTCCTCATGGGTCATTCCTCTCAGCAACGGCGCGGTCTCGCCCTTCTTGGGGGTGGCAGAGTATTCTATTTGGGCGCCAGTTGTTGGTGGCAGGGCTTCGGTGGCAAATTGGGGACGGGCATTCTGCTTCCCTTCTCCACTCAAACTGGATCCCTCATTTGCAGCTTGATCCGCCCCGCTATAATCCTCAGATCCTTCCTGTGGGGGAAGATCCGATGGTGGCAGAGGTGATTGAGCCGGCAGGGGGCCAGTGGTCTGACCAGAAATTAAGTCAGTGGTTTGACCCGCCTACTTGTGCGGCCATTAAAGCCATCCCTCTTCCGCGGTTGCCGGTAGCGGATAGATTGGTTTGGCATAATACTCCGGAAGGCATTTTCACAGTGAAGTCGGCCTATCATCTTGCTGTTACCCTGGATAGGCGCCAGGGGTGCTGGAGGTCTGAGGTTAGCTGGATGGATAAGGCCAGTTGGGTCAGGGTGTGGGGGGCTAATCTGCCACCGAAATTGAAGGTGTTTGTTTGGCAAATCCTTAATCGTTTGCTTCCTACGACAGAAGCTCTCATTGCCAAAGGTGTTCCGGTCTTACCGAGGTGTCCGGTGTGCTGGGCGGAGTCAGAAACCTTGGAACACTTATTCCTTTTCTGTCCGGTCGCTCGAGCACTCTGGGACTATTCGGGGCTGGCTTCCCTAGGTGAAGGGCTTCCCCAACACACTTTTCCCCTGTTTCTTAAATGGTTGATGGCTCTGCTCACTCAGCCACCCGTTCTTATGTCAGTTGTGGCTATTCTATGGCGAATCTGGCGTTCTCGTAACTGGGTTGTCTTTGAGGGTAAGCAGTTTGGGTTTCCGGGGTTATTGCGTCAGTACAATCAGCAGTATGAGGAGTGGGTTGGTCTGCCTGTGGATCGCCATCCTCGCTCTGCGGTTGCTCCCATTTCTCAGCCGGTGCTAGCAGGGGGTGATAGGATGGTTTGCATGTGGGATGGGGCTACGAGGCGTGGGTCTCATGCAGCTGGGGGTTTTGTCTTATTGACGCCGAATAGAGAGGTCCTTATGGCTGGCGGAGTTCAGTTCCCAGGGATCGATGATCCCAAAGTAATAGAGGCGTTGGCGCTCAGGGAAGCTATCTTATGGTGCCAGAATCAGAGGTTGAGGGAGGTGTGTTTTGAGGGTGATGCCAAGGTCGTCATTGATAAAATTAACCAGGCAGATGCTAGTGATAGTCGGATAGGTGCGATCCTGGCTGAAATTATTCACCTTCTGATGGTTAGGCCAGGGTTTGATGTTAGATTTGTAGGTCGGGGTAACAATAGGGTAGCCCATTTGGTGGCTCGGAAGGCCCTTTCTTTGTACCCGACTACGAGTCGTTCCTTTGATTTTCAGGCCTGGCTGTTCTCCAGGTTGTAACTATCTTTCGTTCTGATCAATGAAGATTATCTTTTGTCAAAAAAAAAAAAAAATCTATCTTGTACAGGAACCGGAAGTACCGCGTAGTATAATTAGTAAAGCCATCCTCCAATCTTATTAGTTAATCACTGCTCATTGTTGTTGTAAAGTTGGGGAGAAATTTATTGAAGACATTCGCAATTAGGGAAGTCTTTTGATTTTTGGCTGCTGCTTTGCCTTGTCTCCTGCTCGTCATGGTAAAGGAAACCGTACCGGACATCATACCAGATTCCTTTCTGGTATGGTATTTTGTGGTACGACCGTGGTTCAACCGTTTTGTACCGGTAAATACCGTTTTTCACTATTGATAGAGAAATGAAATGCGATAGTATAAAAAATATAATCCATCAAAAAAAGAACCAAATAGAGCATTATACAACCACGGTGACCCATTTTCAACTCGAAAAATAGCAAAATAATATTCTTTTTTAATTATTTTCCACATTTTCAACCGGTCAAACCGAAAAAACCGGCCGGCACGGTAAAATCAGCACAATCAGCCCACCGTACAGTTTTTGGTCCAATTTCCGGTTGAACCGGCCGGTACGATCCAGTTTTCTGATCTATGCTGCTGGTAGCGGTCGCCGGAGAATTTTGTTTTTGCGAGTGGACTGCGGTCCGGTTGGCCAAGGGGAGGGAACTGTGGAAGGGCTAAACGACAGCGTGCTTGTCCACGTCATCGATCCTCGCCTCTTTCATCTCTCAATCTGTAATTGGACGGTCCGATTTTCATCTCGCTAACTCAAAACCCAAGGGGCATCCTTATCCCCCGCTCATTTACGCCCACACCTTTACCACCTACCTAACGCTGCTTCTCTTTTTATTAGTTGTTGTTTTTCCCCCCTTTCTCTGTAGCTACTAGCTAGCCCTAATTTTATTTTCCTCCATAAATTTTAATCTTTTTTCAGTGTATTGGGGGAAAAAAAGAAATTAAAATCTTTCCTTCCTCTCTCTTCTCCCACCCCTGCGATTCTTATCTTGTCCTTTCTCTCTCTAGAAAAAAAGAAAAAAAGAACTCCAATGGATCCGCTGCACAACCACATCCCTCCCCTGCCGTGGGACCAACCCACTCCGACCGCTACCGTCGCCGCCGCTCCCTACCCCGTCGTCACTTTCCCTCACTCCGACGCCGCCGGACTGCAGCCCCACAGCTATGTTTCCCAGCAGTCTTTCCCCAACTTCGCCCCACCAGCTGGAGCAACCGCACTCTCAACAGATCCTTCCCCTGCTTCATCTCCAACTCCAACTCCGACCACCGCTGCTGCTCAAGCTCCGGGTGGATTACCCTCCAGCCTCCCTTCCTATTCCAAGGTAAGACAAAAGAAAATATTAAACCCAAAAACCCAAGTCCAGTAAATACAATATAATTTTTTTAAAAAAAAAAAATTTTGATTTCAAAAACCCTGATCTGTTTTTTTAGCTTTTGTTTTTAAAATTTGTTTGGTTTGGGTGTTGTTGTTAGATGATTTTCACGGCGATTGAGGCGTTGAAAGAACGCGACGGGTCAAGCAAGAGGGCGATATCGAAGTACATCGACCATGCTTATCATGGGCTACTTCCGCCGAACTACGGGGACCTGTTGGCTAACCAATTGAAGCTTCTGAAGAGCAAAGGGCTGCTCGACATGGTGAAAAAATCTTACAAGATAAGCGGATCTGGTGGTGTCACCGCCAACATCAACGACCTCCCAGACCTTACTCTCGATTCTTCCCTTCAACCGCCCCCGCCGACGCAAGGCCTGCTTTCTCCTCCTTCTGTTGGGCCTAAAAGAGGCCGTGGCAGGCCTCCGAAGGCCAAGCCCACAACTGCCCCACAGCCTGCTGTTGAAACTGTACTACCCAACGGCCAGGTTGCTCAGCCGTTGAGTGATTCTCTGCCGCCGGGCTTCGTCGCCAACGGCCAGCCGGCGACAGGGCATTACCCTTCCTCTGGAGTCGACGTTAATGTTAATGTGGAGGAAGGTGTCCACGGAGCGACTCAGCCTGTCACGGTGCCTGTCGGACTGGCAGCGGAGGATGGTACTGCTACTGCTAAGAGAAGGCCAGGGCGTCCTCCTAAGAAGCCACTGGGGGTTGATACTAGTGGGGTTGGGATTGTGAAGAGGGGCAGAGGGAGGCCACCGAAGAGCGTTTTGGGTCTCGGGACGAAGAAGAGAAGTCCCGGGAGGCCCAGGAAGCCGAAACCTAAAACCGTGGCAGCTGTGTCTGGTGCTAATGGGTACAAGAGGCGCCCTGGTCGCCCGCCTAAGAACCAGGCGAATTCGGTGGCAGTTCCTTATGCTAGCATTGAAGCAGCAGCGCCTCTCAGTGTGCCGAGGCCAAGGGGTAGGCCAAGGAAGGGTACTGGCTCCATTGCTGCAGGTGTTGGTGTTGGAGTGCTTGGACTAAATGATGGTGTCTTGGAGCCCAGGAGGAGCGGGAGGCCAGTTGGTCGCCCAAAGAAGGTAGTTGTTTATTTTTTTGCATGGTTTTTTATCTGTTAATTGTTTGTGAACCGTACATCCAAAAATTTTCTTATAATTGAATGGTTTGGACAAATATAAGCCGGAATTATGATATTTAACATATATACAATGCTGAATACTAGGCGAATGCACTGAATTCCTAATTTTGGTAGTCTGCTTGATTGAATTGCTGATAGTATTCTGGAGCTTATTCAAATGAATTGTTGTGTGTCCAATTGGCTTTAAATTCAATTTTCTTTTCTTGGTGTGCAATAAATATGATATTTTTGTTCCAATTGTAACTCCTCGGCACCAGGTTTTTTTTGTAACAGATCAGATATCAAGCTTTGTTGTTTTAATGGGGGGCAGCTTCTGTTTTTGTTAATGAGCATTAATTGTTCATACATTTAGCCGTAAGAAAGATTTCTTAACATGCTGTTTATCCTTTTTGGTCTGGCAATGATGAGAAGATGCTTATTAGAATGCTCTATGTAACTCAAGTTGGTCACTAGGTTTTTGAAATTAGAAACATTAAGACTTCCCCTTCTTATCTTGGCGGAACCCACCTGATGGTTTAATCTGCCAGCTTAATTACTACCATAAGTGATCTGTTGAAGCTTTTCAAGAGTAAAATGAAGATTAAGAGAGTGCTTTATTTTCAAAGTGCTTTTAGAAGTGCAGTAAACTGTCATCAACATAGTTTTGTTGTTTAAACTAGTAATTTTGTGCAACTGACAAGTTATTTTCCCGTTCTTGCTTCTTTGAGGAATTGGATAATTCATTCTATTAGATTTGTACCTTGCATTGCAATTGTAACATCTATCTCTTCTTGAGTCTCTTTTACTGTCAAAATCTGAGTTCTTGGCATTTTGATAGCTTGATATCAGATATTTCTTAATCTTTGAACTAAAATTTCCCCCCTGAATCTGGATATAATTTTCAATGTCCAGTCCATAGAACTTTGAAAAATATTGATATATTTGCATCCTTAATTCTTCTTGTGCAGCAGAAAACTGAAAATTTTAGGTATTAAATTGTAACTAAAAACTGAATTTGCTGTCCGTTAAAATTGGCTCATGTATGCTGACCGTTTTCAGTTAATAGCAACTCGCATGAAAGGTATTTGATTTCTGATCCTGGTTTGCATATATTTTCTTACTACGTGCTTGTGCAATGGGACACTATTTAAGTGAGTTATGGAGGGAAAAGCTTATTTCTGGCAAAACAATTTCTTTACTCCATCCACTTGGATGATTTGGAAAGGTTAATCTGATCCCAGTTTTTGTCAATGGTCGGTGTTTAAGCTTCATTGCATTCTTAGTCATTGTATTAATCTGGACTGGACACATAATTTTGTCTATTTACAATGCCTGCTAAGTCAGTTGAAGCTTTTTGGAAATACTGATTCTTAGATGTGCTCTCCTAAAGGCTTTTCTTTTGAGCTGTCGTATGTTTTATTGGATGCTTTTTTTCTTTCTTGCTGGTACTGAACTTAACTGTCACTTCTGCTTTGGTCTTCTGGGGAACTAGTACACGGATGAATCAGATGCACTAGGCGAAGCAGAATTCAGGAGGAAACTCGTGTTCTTTGTAAGTGGAAAATAGTCGAAAGTAGTTTTTATATTGTACTTTCTTTGTATGCTTGTTTCCCCTAGCTCAAATCCTAAACCAACGTGTGTCTGCAGCAATCACGGGTGAAGGATGTTGCTGGCGTGCTGAGGCCAATGCTGAGCAACGATGCTCCCGAAAAAGTGGTCAAGGCTGTTGCAGAGCTGGAGAAGCTTGCGAAAATAGACATCGAGCAGGAACTGAAGGAGGAGATCGTGTCGTTTAACCTGCATGATATTGATCTCGATGCGGAGGCTGCAGTTGGCGAAAGTTAGGAAGATTGTCGATGTATTCTTTGGCAATGTGAAAAGGGAAGTGAATGTGATTATCGTCAGTGAGTGAGTCGATCCCTCCGCCGCAGACTTGTGTAAGGAGTTTTCTAACCCCTCCCCCTCAAGACAGGAAGCAGAAAGTACACCATGTAGGGCTGTAGATTAAGTGAGAGTCTAGGGTTGGTTAAGGACTAATTGTTATTTCCCCTGTGCAAAAGAATGAGAGCGTTTGTAGGTTTTCCTTTTCGTTTTAATTGAAGCCGAACAATTGTGGGGTTTAATTCTAGGTGATGACTGTGATCAGTGTTTGTTGTATCCTTTTGTTCTGTCTAGTATTAACTGCTTTCGTATTCTGTCCAATCAGTAGTAGCGCATGTGATCTTACAGGTGAATGCTCCCTTCATTAGTTTTATAACCATGTTCGGAATAAGCATATCCTGCCTAGCGGTTATTCACCTCCAATTATTTATGTTGCTGCAATTAGGGCTGAAAGTTTTAGTAACGGTATTCGGTATCGAATACCGTACTGCATTTGTTAATATTTGGTATTACTGAATACATGTATTAATTTGTTTGGGATTGAGATTCAATTTAATTGTTATTTAGTATTAGGGATTACAGGATTGAGATTAGTATATATAGAAATATCAAACAATACCGAAATATAAGTTAGTGAGTATTTTATCCTCTCAACTAGACTCTCTCATTCACTACTACATTACCCTCAACCACCAATCTACTGTTATTTTGATAACATCAAAAAGCAAACATTAATATTAGTTTTCTCTCAGCCTCCAATTCGTCAAATTAAAAATTACTAATGACAAAAACTTGAGATGTCACCTCTACTTCATTCTCTTTATCCATATCCTAGATCTAGCCAAACTCAAAACTCTTTGTTTAGTCTCTTTGTTCTATATTAAACAATCAAATTTAATTTATATATTTAATTAATAATTATAAAGGTAATTAAGTTCGTATTTGATAATACCGATTGGGATACTGAAGTAGCGATTGAGATACCGAAATATTTAGGGATTGAGATTAGGATACCGAAATTATTTAGGGATTGGGATTGAGATTGATTCTAAGGTGTAATTCAAGATTTCGTTATTTGGTATTGAGATACCGATACCGTACCGATTTCTACCCCTAGCTGCAATGGCATGCCAATGATTTGTTGCAGACGACTTGAAGGCGCAGTGTAAGGGGTCGTTTGGAAGTTGTGATTTCAAATGATGTATTGAGCTAATTCATTTATTTGTAGTTGTGATTTCATATTAGGCAAATACATATATCCATAACTATCACATTTGTGACAAATATATCCATAACTATCGAAATACACGAAATATCCAAAAATCGGAAGGTTGTGTGACAAATCTATCCACTTCCGTCTGAAACTATAACAGTGTTAGTGATGCCGTTAATTATTGTGACGGAATGCTGACTAGGATCCAAATCATCATCCACTTCAGCAACAAATTAGCATTATATTAGAGTTAAATGACACGTCAGAAATTAATTAATAAAAAATTTAAAATAATTTTTTTTTCGACGATCAACCCCATATTTCCGGCGAGCTTTGTTTCCTCCTCTAGCTTCCTCTCACGCTCCTGTCGGCGACATCGATTTTGGTCTTTTGCTTTCTCAATCGACGATCTGGGCTTGGCCACTTGCTCAATCTACTTTCTGTTCTTTCTAAGACGGAAACCAATCCCATCGCCGATGAGAAAATCCCCAAATCGAAGCAAGCAGAGGATTGGAAAACCCCCCAAATCGGATCTAGCAGAAGATGAGAAAATCCCCCACATCGACTGCGGATGGAAGAAGACCTGACAGCGTCCTGCCTCAGTCGGCTCGATTCCCAGTGAACTCGCCGAGATGCCCAACCTCGACACCCTCCCCTAGTCCTTCGGCGACCGCTTGAAAGGGAAGTTCCTGACTCAATATCTCTCCTAGCGACATCGAGCTCCTCAACGACCGGTTGACCACTAAAGATGGGGCTAGTGAAGATCGACTTAGGGCAAGGATGGCCGCTGCGGCGGATTCAACTTCACCACATAAACCCAAATTTGACCTTTGAGCCAAAGAGTTGGATTTGAACGAATCGGCATCGAGCTTCAGCCTCCAACTACGATTCAACCTCCAAGCTTTAGTCAGAAACCCATATTCGAGCTCCGAGTCTCCAAGTTCGATTCGAATGGAATCATTTCCGACTTCAATTTGACCTCTGAGCTTCAATCCAAAAACCCAGATTCAATAGAGGCGTTTGTGTTGGTACTTGGAGGCGATTGCGTACGTAAACGACATGGCGAAAGGGGTGGGATTAGTGAGATGCGCCGCCGAAAATCCAACTTCTTATGCATCATCGGACACAGCGAGGGCAACAGAGAGAGATCGAAGATGGGGCTCCGAGGAAGAAAAGGAGAGAGGTGGGAAGACAATGAGATGACGACGGGAAGAGGAAAAGAAGAATTTTTTTATCTTTTTTAATTTTTTTTCATTATTCACGTGTAATAGTGGGACCAAATATCACCGACTCAGCCCATTCCGTCAATCTAGTCAGACTGTTAATTGACGCCGTTAGAGCGTTGGACATAATTGGATATTTCGTGTATTTCGATAGTTGTGGATATATTTGTCACAAACGTTATAGTTGTGGATATACGGCTGTATTTTTCCTTCATATTATGTATTGAGCTAATTCATTTATTTGTAAGATTAAGTCTTTTTTTTTTGCTTATATTGAACTAGAATACACGTATTAACTTTTTGAAGGCCTCATCACAATCACTCAAAATTGAGGGATTATCAATCTCTACTTTTTGTTGGGATTTTTTATAATCACTCAAAATTAACTTTTGCGGCCTTACAGCAAACACAAAATCTAAACCTCCAAACAATGTATTTGTCGAAACACCAATTGATTCAATACATCAAATGACAATACACTAATTGACTCAATACATCAATTTGAAGAATCACAACTTCTAAACGACTCTAAGTGGCAAAGTTGTCTTGTTGTCACGATTCATTCAGATCATAACACTTATTTATAGAAATTCTGCATCTAAACATGCTCCATTCAAAATTTCTAGCTCTATGAGAAAACTTAGGGAGGATATTTTTGCATGTATTTGTTATAAAAAATGTAACAAACTCTACGCATAAAACCTATAAAAGTGACTATTGCTCTAAAAAAAAGTTATTTCTTAATAATTAAATAATTGACAAGTAAGTAAGAGACTATGATCACTTTTCACGTCTCAACTAATTATTATATTTGATAAATCATTTAAAAATAAAACTATTATCACTAAACACGACTCAACTAATTATTATTTATTTTCTTTGATAAATCATTTAAATAATAAATAGCATTTTAAATCTTAAAATCTTACGCTTTTAGGTTATCAAAACTAATCTACACAGAATCACGCTTTTTGACTAACAATAGTGCAGTCAATGCGTTTTAAAGGTTGAAAGTTTATGCTTTTACGCTTCTAGGTTACCAAAACGCTTCTAACTAGAATCATGCTTTGAATGTGTTGGTTAGAACACCACAAATCCCAACATAATTAAGATTTTCGAAGATAATCAATGATCTCCAACAACAGTTGTGACTAGAATGAGGTGAATTCTTTGTTGTGAAAATTATTATTCCTATATGGTTAAGTTTAGATATTGTTTGTTTGTGGGATTTGGCACCCAAATCCCAAGCGTCAAGGAGTTGGCACTAACCCATCGTTTGCTAAGGGACTCAAATCCGTGAGGCCACAAATTTGCAAATCCCACATTTCATTTGGGATTTGATAATGGATGGCAAAATTATGAGACAAATCAATCATAAACCTATGGTAAAAATTAACTTAACAAACAATGTTACCAATCATTTTTGAATACCTATAATACTGTGTCATTAAGTTTATTACGAGTTGATATTCCTTCCATGAGCCCTATAATTTTAACTTCAACCAGAATCTGCATATATAGAAGACAATGATTACAAAGTAATAATATGTATGATGAATGCTCATTTTTTATTTTCTCAACAATTGAATAATTTGACTCTCTTAATGGCCAACTATATTGGTATTTTTAAAATTGATAGAATTATTTTTTAATTCGCATGGCATTAACATATAATCATGACGCGAATATAAAAGAAGAAAATATCACTAGAATTCAAATTTGGAGCATTTATTATTTACTATTATCGATCATATTGCAACCAGCCAACGGGCCGGGTTACGATCTAGTTTAGATTAATGTCACTTCGGATTTGTCCCTCCCAATCCTCCAACTCTTCTAACTGCAAGAGAAGAGACTTAGCCGCTATCGGACCCGATAAGGTTGATGAACTCATTCAGAGGAAGCCCACTTTGGATATCCTGGAGGTAAGAGGGTTCGACACTTCGACCTGGCTTGTCCAGAGTGGAAAAAAGAATCACAATGCTCATTAACTTAGGTTGGTGACGTAGATGCTTAATAATAGTTAGTTGAATGAATTCTTTACTCAACTAGCACGATACCCGATATCACATTGTACAATGAATGTTCTCAATTAGTTTGTGCACATCCTAGTCTTGATCACATTGTTGCGGCATGGCTAGTTTTGCATTACTTACTGTCATCGAGCATACTATGATTTTTTTTAATTCGCAAGTCTCACAGCTTTTTTGTTATAGTTATGTCGATTATGTATATAGGTCGCCGGGCCACATGGCAATTAACCTAGTTGTTAAATACAATTGGCTTTGTTCAGATCTTAATATAGACTTTATATAAACGTGACATATTTCGGACACAGAGGGGTCGTTTGGTTTTGGTGATAATTGAATTTATGTATTGTCATCAATGCATGCATAATAATATACACACATATATATATATAAGAAAATTGTTGTATAGTAGTTTATATTGTTTGGTTTATGCGATAGTTATTGTAGTGTTTAAATAAACTATATTACTTTATAGCTGAAATGTCATTTGTACCCTTTGTTTTTAGTATAAAAAGCAACACATATAAAAAGTAAAGGATATAGTTGGAAGAAGAAAAATACACAACAATCTCAACAAAAACTTGAGATTTAACTATCACTCATTTTGAGTGATAGTTTGTGTCACATCAAGCAAATAATACATGTATTGTTTGTTCAGAAAATTTAAAAAACCATAGATTATGAACATTACATGCATTGTAAGTTGTAACTATCACAATCAAACTATCATCAAAACCAAACAACCATAGAGTCACGGCCCGCCGGCCGCCACCATCCACAACTTCACATGCCCCAAGTGTCCCTTATATGTATCTATGCCGAACTCCACAGGCAGCAATATGTACAAGTCCAACTAGGGGTGGGTATCGGTGCGATTCGGACCGCATCGCACCGCATTGATATAAACCGCACCGCACCGCATCTTAATCGAGCCGCACCGTATTTCGACCTCTAAGTTATCGGTGCGGTCAAATCAAACCGCATAAATTAACGGTTTGATACGGTTTAAACCGCACCGCATCTAGACCGCAATTCATTATGGTTTGTACATAATTAAATAAAAATTACTCAATTGTCCTAGTCATCAACGTCATCGCCGCTGGCGCCGGGATGAGCAGTAGCAGACGGATCGTTAGGAGGCATGGGAACATGATACATCTCTCTCTCCCTCTCCCTCATCATCATCTTCTTCTTCTGTTTGAACTTGTTTCTGTTACTGCTGAATTATTTGGCCTTTTTTCCTCTGAAATAAGCCAAATCAGGACGCAACCAGCCACATAGAGAGATGACGGCAAAGAGGTCAAACTCAAACCCACCCAACTGAAACTAAGTTCCACAGAGTAGCTCTCCATTAACATCTCATTACGAAAGACCAACACTTCCTACTAGTTCATAGGGAAATAAGTTCCACAGACTGCTATCATTATTTGACCTTTTTACGAAAGTTAATGATCAATGGATTAAGGCATGACAAAGCGTGAAAGTATGAAAGGGACTATTAATGGAATGATTAGTGCTAAAGCACGCAAAAACATGTAGTTAGAAATGCTGCTGCAACTATATATCCCATCAACTAAAACAAAATTCATCACGAAAGACCACCTCATCAAACATTCCAGTTTGAAGATCAAGCACACATAGTTCTGTGAAACCGAAGGCAACAACTCAGATACTTCAACTATATATCCATCAACACTACAATTTGAATCAAACATTCTGCTTGTGAAAAAGTCAACATCAACGATCCAACATGGCTTTCAAACAGATAACGGTTTTCAAACAGCCTTCTTCTGGCATAGCCTTCTTCTGCCACAGCCTGTCTAGAGCACTATTTCAAGTATGTATAGCTCTGCAGCAAACACTGAAGCAAAGCCTCGTCTAAGTATAAATTAGTTGTACTTCTCATTAAAATGAAAACCCAATCATTAAGCAGTGATTAAAAGTAGAGGATTGGCAGCTGCAGAATGACATCACATTCCTTCCATTAATGTCAGCTGGAGGGAGTGGTGGGCTCTTCACGTGAGGTGATCAAGCTCATATGTAGCTGTTAGTGGGAATCTTAACTGTTAAAGCCTCCAAACAACTTGTTTTTGTTTCCCACTAACCACAGACACCAGTACACATAAGCTCATTTGACTCTTGCTATTCCCGTTAGCATAAACAATTAAATATGTATATACCACTTGGGGTTGTAGTGGGGTGGGCTGATTAGGAAGGGTAATCCCTTCCATTTTGGGACCTACTGCCCTCCCTTCCCCAGTAACAGTCACAGGCAACCAGCTCTGGATCAGTGGTTTGCCTTAGACAATTCTGGTGTCATGTTGGTTTCACCCAGCCTGTTGTCCTTCCCTGTAGATTGATTCCCTAGCTACCTGCTTTCTGACCAGGCACCACCACCCCTTGCTTCAATAAACAACAACATTAAAAGGAAAAAATAAGAAGAGGGTATCATTTTGGTTCTTCTTCTGATTCTCGAGAACCACCAATCCATATAGCTTTGGAAACCTTCCTTTCTGTTGGTACATTATTGTTATTGTTGTTGTTATGATCAGAAAGTAGAGGATTGGTAGCTAGTGATCATAACTCACCTCACTGACATTAAGCACATTGCTGCTAGATATCGGTGCTTGAGCTCGTTTTCCCTTCGAGCCTTTTGATTTCATTTTGCCTTGCAAGCATATGAAATAAAACAGTTAGAACATTGAACTGTCATTAACACTAATCTGCACACATTCATCCGGTCCCAGCAGAGTCTCCCTCCACAAGCTTAATCTGTATATTCACCTTCCCAAACAGATACTTGCTCTTGGACTGGAACCCAGATCCTGAAAAACAACAAAAGAAGGAGATAATGAACCCATTAGCATCATCCTGATATCAACATAACCAGGCGCAAATGGATGAAACCCAGAACAGTAAAGTTGCAGACGAGAAAAGACAATGTGACCCAGGAGGAATCGAGGGTTGATTAGGTGTCGTAAGAACCCTTCGACCCAAGAACAACAGTGAGATTCAGAATTGAGTGCGACCCTGGAGCTGGAGAGGGCTTCTTTCTCCAACGAATTGGGAACGAAAACCATGACTATATGGGTTTCGAAGAAATCACACTATTCAAATATAGAACCAAAGGAGAAAAGCATACCTGATCTCGCCGGTACTGGTGTTTTTGACAGCCGGCCAAAGCCCCGGAGTCTCCCGCCTCTTGGTGTATTTGACAGTCCGCCAAAGCTGGGGAAGATGGCGCCGTGGAGAGAAGATGGCGGAACGAGAGAATGGTCAGATCTGGTGCTGCCGCCTGCCGGAGAGAAGATAGCGTCGACTCTACCGCCGCCGCCCTCCAAGCTTTGTCGGTGGCGCTGCTTCTAGCGGAGAAGAAGCTGGAGGAAGGGCTTCAGGAAGTTGAGCGGAAGAAGAGGCGTACTCAATCTTAGCGGATTGTGGTTTCAAACCGCAACCGCGCGGTTTGGTCAATTCGAACCGTGAACCGCCAAGCACTTAACGATCAGACCGCAAATGAAACCGTTAGTTTAATGATGCGGTTTGGATTGACGCATAAGCGGTTTGGGGCGATTTGGAGCGGTTTGGTCAAACCAATACCCACCCCTAAGTCCAACAAAATCTCATTCCTTCATACCCAATATGACTCGGTCACTATTGTAGCCCGCCATATGTTAGCGGATAGAACAGTTAATTGTAAGTATAAATGCTACATTTGGTCACTGAGATTACTAAATCGTGTTATGTTTAGTCACTAGAAAAAATTAATATCAATTTTGGTCACTCAAATTACTAAAATAGGTCACATTTAGTCACTCTCCCGTTAGCCTCCGTCCAACTCCGGTCACTTGAATTACTTATTTTTTAATGAATGTCACTAGAATTAATGAAACATGTCACATTAAGTTACTCTCCGTTAGCCTCCGCCCAACTCTATTGGAGTTGGAGAGTGACTAAATGTGACATGTTTCAGTAATTTGAGTGACCAAATTTGATATTAGTTTTTTCTAATGACTAAACATAACACGATTTTGTAATCTCAGTGACTAAATGTGACATTTACCCATTATTGTAATCTCAAATGTTAGATGGACGTAGTTGTTGCTAACCAAATTGATGCATGATGTCTACTCTACTACAATAGAGGTTTCGGCATGTATACATCAGTGAGCTTGTACAGTTTCTTTCTCCGAGTTTGGGATTGCAGTTTCCTAGATGTAGATTCAAAGGATTTACAAATTCAAGTTATCTACAAACATTGCAACATTTGGTACGTACTCGGGACCCAGGTGGTGTACTATCAGCGCGTCCAAAACCAGGAATGTGCAAACTCAGGAGAACTGCAATCGAGTAGTGAAAGATATTATAAAATCAAGGAGAGGAGCGACATTGTTTCGGTCCGATTTGGTCTGGTCCACAAGTCAATTCGGTTTATTTTTCTTTCATACTTACAGAATTCATGGAAAAAGAGACCGGATCACATTATACTCTGTTTGTTATGATCCGGTACAAACAACAATTTGAACCGATACAGTCCGATACAGATAAAACCGTTGCACACCCTTACCCACAATAATGATAAAAGATACCAAACATGACGAAGGGTAAATGTTATTGGGGTGGCTTTTTCCCCAGTTCAGCTCAAGCCTGTTTTCCTGACCTCTGACCTTTGCCAAGTGAATGGGCCGATGGATTTGACTTTGAGGGCCCTAATTCTTGCCACCCATATCAATATAATCATGGATGGACTGACGTGAAGTTGGTGCATAATTTAAGTTGCCCCACTTATTGCATAATGAATAGAATGGTCCACTACTAATAAGTGTTTTAATTCTTGTTCTCCCTTCTAATGACGCTACGGCCTACGAGCTAGATTCATTCAAGTAATACTGTAATATGCTATATGCATGCTGCTTAAACGACCCGCATAGTAATCACTAAAAAGGATTCACTATGGTGTTCTGCTCTGAGCTCCCCCTCTATTATTTGTTGAGTTGATAATTGGATTGGATTTGTGAATTCCTGATTTGGATAGTAAAAAATTGAATCCACGCTACTCATCTCCTACCTGAACAAGTTATTTAAACTCTCCACGTAATCCTAAAACAGCCCGCTGTGGAATTTTTGGAGGGACGATGATTTTTGGTGGTCCGATGATGATACACTGAAAACTTCCCGATCCAAATATGTCATGGAGCTTTTTCTCGCCATTGAAACCAGTAGTCAATATCACAATGGAGGTCTCCGGTATCAGTTGGTCATCGTTTTCAACTTTGATCCTTGTTTACAGAAGCTAAAGCTCGGAGCTTCTTAATTGGGGTTTCCTATTGTTTTTCTACGAGAAAACTAGAGTGGAGCATAATTGATTTGCATCTTTTGACTTCTAAATAAACGATTATTAAACATGGTCCACTCCTTTTTAACAAAGTTCAAAAAGAGTGCTCAACGTTCTTGATGATCTACGAGACAAAGCTATATTAAATTAATACCTATGGAGGTTCTGAGAGAGCTCCAGAACTACAACTATGTTAAATTTGCACAGGAAAAATAAAAGGATAAAATTTGATATTGGGTTGTCTGGTGTGATTTGGCGACCCCCTTCTCTGTCATCTTCAACTCATATTAGTAGCCACCAAAAGTAACTTCCTCGAGACACACTCCACTAACGTGGAGTCCGATGGTTACCCTCTCAACTGCTCTGAGGATGTCCTGCTAGTGGAATGCTACCCTCTTCAGTCTTGACCCCCTCTTCTTGATAGCTCATCCTTAGCTTGGGTTTTGGAATTAGAAAAACACATAAAGCATGAAGACCCCCCTTGCCCCATGTGGGTGGGTATTAGCATCACATGGGTTAAACATGCAAAAATAATTCACTACTACCGGAGCGACGTACTTAGCCAAAATTTTGTCATATTTCATCTACTAAGAAGAATACTGCGCCACAAACCTTGCCACCTACTACAAAAAAAGCAGGCAGTTGTGACGAAAACTTACAGACGACTCACAATATGCGTCGAAAAAGATCAATAATTCCGATGACAAACAATTTCCGTATGTACTAATGAAATTATTACTGACAGAGGTGGATTTTTTTGGTCAAAAATTGTTTTTTTTTCGTTAGTAAAATGTTTTTTGGTCTGATTTCCATTTTTCACGCGCATTATTTTTGACGACTTCATATTGCGCGTTAGAAATAATCATCATTACTAACCAACAAAAAAATGTCGCCGGAAAATATACTTATTATTGACGACAAAATAGCGATCATCAACATTAAATTATTACTTTTGATGAAATAATTTTTTCGTCAGAAGTAATTGGTCAGAAAAAATTATTTTTGACAACACTAAAAGTTGTCAGTACTAATTGGTCAGAAAAAACCCATTTATTACGCCATAAACACTTCCTCAGTACTATTTGGTCAGGAAAAAATCTTTTTTGACAACAGTAAAATTTCGTCAATACTATTTGGTCAGGAAAACAACTTTTCTGATATCATAAAAATTTTGCCAATACTGTTTGGTCAGTAAAACACATTTTTGACACCATAAGCATTTCGTCAGTACTATTTGGTCAGGAAAAATTTCGTCACCATAGTTTGGTCAGGAAAAATAACATTTTTGACGCCATAAAATGTCGTCTGCAGTAAATGGTCAGACCAAATACATTTTGTACGCCATAGACAATTCTTTTTAACCATTTGGTTACAAAAGTGAAACCTTTCTTACAAAATAAATTACCGTATACGTTTTTTCATAAATGAAAATCGGACAAGAATGACATGTTTTAGAAATGATTATTGAATCAATAAAAAAACACATAATAAGCACTGTTCTATGAAAAATAGAAATTATATAATATATATCTCCATCTACAAAGATCAAATTAGTCATACTTAATCGTCGAACCCTACTCTAGTCCAGTTTAAGAGATCATCTCCCTCAGTTTGGAGTACCCTAGGATCATCAATTAAAATATTGTCTTCTTGATAGGCTTCGTCTAATGCTCCTTCTCCTTCCTTATTAGATAGCATCGCGAACAAATTTCTAGGTCACGTTTTAACCACAATTTTCCAATTTGGATCTCTCAAAGATTGCACATAATAAACTTGAATTGCTTGACTAGCCAGAACAAATGACTCATCTTTTCTAAGCCTTCGCGTTGTGTTGATGGTAATAGTGCCATGTTCATCCTTCCTGTAACCAACGCCTTCGCGAGTGGTGTGATAATCGGCTTTAATATATCGGATTCTTGAACTTATGTGACTATCCCATGATATATTTAAGCCAATTGGTGCTATTTTAGGGCTCGCTAACCCGGGAATTGTTGAAAAAACATTACTGCCTAGTGCCATGAGTTTGGTATGTTACAGGTGGAGAAAGCACGAAAAAGAAGAAATTGCACAAGCAATCAATCGGGCTCGAATCACTGGTGGAATATTCACTTGGGCTAGGAGCAGCAGCGGGCCGGAAGTGACTCGACTGGGCTGCAAAATTATGGCCGGAGTCCCTTGACATGGATTTCTTTGGGCCGGGCCTATTACTTGGAGGAGCTGGCGGCCAAAAGAAGTGGCCCATCTCCCTTGTCCTTTAGCTGGGGAATTAATGGGCGGAAGGAATTAAAAAGCAGGAGCACAGGGAATTCTAGTGGGAGGAAAAAAGGTAGGGCGCAGTGCAGCGGGGAAAACGATTTTCTTTGGAAAAAAGAAGCAGCTGGCGGCGCACGGAATTTCTTTGGGTATTTGGAACAGCTGCAGCGAACGACGAGGAGGAGCGCAACGATTGGAGCATATCACTAGTACCGCGAATCGGAAGAGAGAATCAGATTTTGTGCTTCTATTCGTATCAGTATTTTCTCTCCTTTTCAGTACTAGCATTATGATGAACAAGAACATGATTATGTGTTTTAGTTTCATCATGAACTAAACCCCAATTTCTGGGGGAAACACCATAGGATGTAGTTATTTCTTGACTTGATGGATTGATTCGTATTTCTTTTCTTCCAATCTCTATTGCATGAAATTACTTAATGCTTTGTGTTGACTGGCCACCAATACATTGATTTGTTGTTAATTAGGTTATTACCGATAGTGAAACCCTCATAACTGAACCTATTTCATGTGACATAGTAACTTATCAAAGCGACAGTGGATTAAATAAGGTGCTATGCGGTCTTGATTGGGATATCGATCTTCAGGCTAAATAATTAAGTCATTGAGCTACGACAGTAGGATTTGATTTAATTGTTTAGTACGTAGTAATTCCCGACAGGGATAGCTAGTACAGTAGTGATATCCTGGCTGTAGAGATATGGATTAAATTGATTGGAATATGTGAATTAATTTGGATATGATAGGTAGTGAGTCCCGGTGTTTCTCCCAGAGCTTTCTCCATTGAATTTCTCCCGACCATTTTACTTTGCTTTTAGATAATTAGTCACATTAAACCATTTTCACCTATAGTTTGCTCTATAAATTGATAGAATAAAAGGTTGTACTAGTCCCTGAGAGACGATACCCGGACTTTCCGGTTTACTACGAGATAGGAAATTGGCATATATGCTTTTGCCCTTGTCATACGACTCACACGGAAACAATACAACGCGAAGCCCTTCAGTATAACGAAGCTCGATGATATCGGTGATAACACCATAGTAATGAATTCCACCATCGTTCTCCCCTCTCACCATCACACCACTGTTCTGATTGCTTTTGGTTAAATCGCGAGTACGAGTGTGAAATCTGAATCCATTAATACAATATCCTGAGTAGTGCAGGACTCGTTTGTCTGGCTCTCGAGCTAAGGATACCAAAGAAGGATTCAAACTTCGCACTTTATCATTGTGCATTCGTGTAATCTGCAATAATTGCAAGGATAAACTTAAAATTAGCTTGCGATAATTTTTAAATATCAAAATTATTTATTATATATGACATGTATGTACATCTAATAAGAACCACTTAGCAAATTCTTGCTTATGCACTGCTTCAACCATACAAACACCTCGATTACTTAGTTGTTCCTTGTGAGTTGTGTAATTAAGTAATATAAATTATATTCTAGCATATAATAAATAAATTTTTTTTGGTGGGACAATAAATAAATATTGGTATATATGTATTGGTGGAAATTTACTGCCACTAGATCCGGAGATCGAGAAGACCTGCCGACAGAACAGGAAGCAGGTCAAGTTAGGGAAGCAACCAACCACAACTACTAGGCCTTCCCTAACCCAGAGAGGGCAGGCTTCATCACCTGTCGTTCCTACACCACCGACACCACCACCACCACCTTGTGACATCGAGCCTGTCATCATGGCAGACGAGGATCGTTCGATCAGGGCTCGCTTGAATCGAAGGACTGTAGCCCGAGCTTCATGTGTTGTCATTCCGCCTGGGGATGCAACCATGGAGATTACCCCAACATTTATCAACATGATCACCAATGGATATACTTTCTCCGGGGCTAGCAATGAGGATTCTCATGAACATATCCGCCGGTTAGCGAGCATATGTGATACGATGAAGAGCCCAACTGTGTCTGATGATGCAATTCGTCTTCGGATGTTCTCATTCTCTCTGATAGGGAATGCATCACACTGGTTTCAGAAGTTAACACCACGTTCCATCACGACATGGGCTCAGCTTGAAAAGGTCTTTCTGGATAAATACTTCCCACTAGCCTTGGCAATGAAGAGGCAAGATAAGATTGTTACTTTTAAGCAGGCTGATGATGAGAGTCTGACTGAGGCATGGGAGCGCTATAAGGGGCTATTGATGAGATGCCCAAGCCATGTTCTTGAAGATTGGAACGTGATCATTATTTTCTTCAATGGAATCAGAAGGGAGTTTCGGGATGCCCTAAATAATGCTTCTCGAAATGGTTTCACAAGAATGGAGGCTCCAGCAGCATATGAACTGGTAGATAAGATATGTTCAGAAGCCACCAAATGGGGTAGTGAGACCAGTATTCGAAGAAGAGGAGTCTTTCATGAGATAAACAGAGTTGCGAGTCTAGAAGCCAAGATAGATGCCAAGCTGGATTCTAAGTTCGATGCACTCGAACGAAGGCTGGCGAAGATTGCTCTGGGTAGACAAGAGGAGGTTGTTTCATGTGAACTTTGCGAGGGTCCTCATCATAGGGATATGTGTCCACTGGGAGCTGCTCAGTTGGAAGATGTCCAATATATCAATAATCTGCGAAGTCAAGTCCAAGGTGGTATGTATTCAAATACATACAACCCTCAATGGAGACATCACCCCAATATGTCATGGTCAAACAATAATCCAGCTGGTGTTCGAAACATCTCACCTCCCGGTTTCCAGCAACAACAACCTCAACCAGAGAAAAAGCCCTAGCTGGAGGAGTTGATTTTGGCTCATATGCAGAAAACAGACAATAATTTCAAGGGTCTTGATCAATTTGTCACTCAACAGCTAGCCATCAACAATAATATGCAATCATCTATGCTAGCTATGGAGAGGCAAATAGGCCAGATGGCTCAAACTTTGGCAGATATTCAAGGTAGGATTCCTGGGACTTTACCAGCAAACACTGAGAGGAATCCGAAGGACGCCATGGTTGTAGCCGTCACATTGAGGAGTGGGAAGGAGTTGGAGGATCCAAAGAGCAAGAAAAATCCGGTAGAAAAGGAGGGCAAAGCAGCTGCAGAGGAAGAAAGTGCAAAAGCTGAAAAATCTGACTTACATAGGCAAACTGCATGCAATCTGCCTGTGCATGAGCATTCTGCCTGTGCAACTCCAAAAGTGGAAAAATTGAAGAACGAAGAGGTAAATCCTTATGAACCTCCCGCACCATTCCCTCAGAGGTTAATGAAGCCCATGGAAGACCCAAACTTGAAAAATTTTGTGAATCTCTTCAAGCAACTTTAGATCAACATACCGTTGGCGGAGGCACTTGAACAGATGCCTACATATGCTAAATTCTTAAGGGAGTTGCTGACAAAGAAGCGTAAATGGGCTGATCTAGAGAAGGAAACCCTTACTTCTGAATGAAGTGCTGCGATTCAGAATAAATTACCAGAAAAGAGGGATGATCTGGGCAGTTTCACCATTCCATGTGTCATTGGAGGTACAGAGTTCGATAAATCACTTTGTGATCTTGGAGCAGGAATTAATTTCATGCCATACTCAGTCTACAAGAAATTGGGATTGGGAGATGTTCTTAAGCCTACTCGGATCACTCTACAATTGGCCGATCGATTAGTGAAAATTCCAAAGGGAGTGGTGGAGAATGTATTGGTTAAGGTGGGGAAGTTTATTCTCCTCACAGATTTTGTGATTCTGGAGATGGAAGAAGATCGGGAGTGCCTCTCATTCTTGGGAGACCTTTTCTATCAACTGGAGATGCACTCATCGATGTTGGGAGCGGCAAGTTGACATTTCGAGTAGGTAAGGAGGAGGAAATTTTTAATGTCTTTCAAATTGATCATAATCACGATGCATTTGTTGACTTTGAAAGTGGAGCTCCAGAAAGGAAAAATTCTTCTTCCTGTGATAGTGGACCATCCGAAGAACTATCACCTATCCTATCTGCTCAAATTTTGAAATCAAAGCAAGGGCAAAAATCCTTGCCAGGTCACCTCAAGTATAGATATTTGGGTAAGGATTTCAATCTTCCTGTTATTATATTCCTTCTTCACTGACATTGAAACAGGAAGAGTACTTGCTTTAGGCAATGCAATACCACCTGCGCCTCACTAAGGGGTCCAACATGCAAGCTAAGAAGGTCATACCCAATTTTCGCACACCTGGCCCTACAGAGGTGACTCATATGTTGGATGGAGGTTATGCGTTCTATCATTGCTCGGGAGGGTATTCTGGATACCTTTCCATACCCATTGGTTGAAAGCTCCATGAACGTCAGGCTGAGGACGTTAAACAAACGCTTCTTGGGAGGCAACCCAAGGTAAGTTTTCTTTTTCTTATTTTTCTTTTTCGTTGTGTCAAACCCGTGCATGTTTAGATTAGGAGTTGAACATTAGGGACATTGTTCCATCCCTAGTGTGGGGTGGTGAGTCTTAGTGTTGTTTGTCCTTGTTGCATGTGGTAAAAAAAAATCTGTCATTTGGCTATGCACAACCAAACTGCATGCAGTCTACCTGTGCAGGTGCAGTCTGCATGTGCAAAGCTAATGGCTGAAAAAACACCTAAAAATCAGAAAAATTAAAAACAAAACCTTGTACTCTTGTGGTAACATGATGTAAATGACCGTGATGCGTGTGAAATGAGTTTGTGCTTGAATAAAATCATCAAAATCACCCCCCACTAGTGTTGAATTGCAAAGTTCTTCACAATGAACTTGATGTTTTGACTGACTTGATATGCTTTGAATGAGCAAACTCTTTTAGCAACATTCTCTTTTGTGAGGATAGTGTAATGACTTTTGATGAAGTAGTTAGGTGGAAAACATTGACCGTTCGACATGTTTGGATACCGTGCTTACTTGCATCAATTGTGAGCTTTTGATTTTGCAACGAGTCTCTCTATTTTGAATGTTTTAGATGGGGTGAACTGTATCTTTATAAAAGAAAACACTAAATGACAAGAAAAATATAAGAAAGTTGCCATAACAATTAAAGTGTGGGTAAAATGCCAAAATCGTGTGAGGCAGTCATTCATTGCACATGGGGGTTAGGAAAGATTCAATTGAGAATCGGTTCGCGACCGTACGATGTTTCTTATCAAGTACGATCCCCAGTTGAGTGAAGTGCCATTAGAGGATGTGCAATGACCCTCCACACGGACCGAGGAAAAGGAGTTAAAAGAAGCCCTTATGCGAGTGCTAAGAAGCAGAAATTGCTCTTGCTCGGTCATCGGTAGTAAGAAACAAATCCCACTTGTACTAAATACGACCACTCGGCAAGCAAAATCAGAAAGAGAGAAAGCCTCTCCTTGTCATAAAAGGTAGTGATGTGCTTAAAGTTAAAATCATGTTTGCCAAAAGCTTCCCCCATTTGTTTTTGAGACTCGTGCTTAATTAATTGCTTATGATTGGTGTGAGTAAGTCAGATTGTCCTCACAAGATATGCACCTCACTGATGTGGTTAGATTCTCCTAATAATTGTTGCACCATAAGTTGTTAACCACCCACTACCGACGATCGAAATTGAGTGTTGCTAATTGAGTTTTTTATGGATTTGAGTCAGTCAATGGTTAAAGGTTTGCAAGACCTTGAGTGTGGGGTAAAAGGTATGATCATTAAAGCACAACTTGTCCTTTAAGAAAGAAACTACTGATTACAACAAGAGTACAAGGAAATTTTGTGTT